TGAAGACGTCACCCGGAAGTGACGTCATCGTGTCGGGCATGTTGCAGGGGGACGCTCTATCATTCGAGGGAAAACTTGAATGATAGAGCCCCACCCCCAACGTGCCCGACGCAATGACGTCACTTCCAGGTGACATCATCACGGTGCGCGCACTGTGTGAGCGTGCAAGAAGGCTCCCCCCCTAAAAGGTAATTATGACTTGGCAAACCTAACACTGCATCATCTACATATAAAAGCAGTGGAACATGAATCAATCTAAGTTTGGGACTATGGCCATATATGTCCTCCAAGAAAGAGACCAAATCTTTTATAAAAAGATTAAAAAGTAGTGGGGCTAGAATACAGAGCAGGTGGCATGTTGAAATTCCCTGTGTGTTTGATGTATGTAGCTTGCAGGGGGTCCATTCGATAGGCCCAACAGCCTGCACGTTTTTGCAGAAGAACTAGGCAGGCCAAAAGACACAATATTACCAGACAAACTGAAGAACAGCCAGATCTGTGGAGAGTATTAAGATTATTTTGGCTGTTTGGGCACTTGAAAAGGCACAAGGAAATAGATCCAGGGACTCTGGAGGGACAAAATTCCTGGGGCCCAAGTCAGTTGGAGGGCACCTGGAGCCAGCATCATGCTGCTTCCAGACAAATGCCTTTACATTTATTTTACATTTAAAGTAGTTCTGGCTGCAGGCACTGGGGCCAGGGAAGTCTGAGCACAGTAAAAGGCACTCTGACTGTAGGCTAGACTCGCCTTTCTGCAAGACTGAAGCAAACCTACCTTATAAAATTATGCTAAGCCCATCAACCAAGTCAGCATTGGAGCAAGACCAGCCAACACTAATGGCATCTGCAGTAATTACCAGGCTGCAGCCTGCTAACAAGATCGTTCTCTCTAGCAGTCTAGCCTTTTTCCTCTTCCTTTCCTTGCACCCAGCGCCATAGTTTTACCTGCCCACCTAGATCTTGCAATTCCATAGTTACTGTATTGCCGCAAGATGAAACAACCTTTCCCTCTCTTAAGACCGGCATTTATATAGCAACACCTTCCCAAAGCCTGTGATGGTGCAATGACTGGTGGGAAGCTGAAGTACTATGCAGGAAAAAACCAGGGAAGATTGTCTTGTTGGGTCATGCATGTAACTTCACATTTAATATCTTCATGTTGCCACCTGCTGGCTTTTTATCTGCATGGAACTACTTTCAGGAATTCTATTTAAAATGTAGATATGAAGGATGAGGAGAGACATTTAGCCACTCAGTGTGTAACACAATTATTATGGACTGTAACCTCTGCCATGCCATATAAACTCATTTCCTGTCTCTGACCACATGGCTTGACTATTGTATTTTCATCATTCCTGACTATGACCTGATTCCTTGCCTAAAAATCTTTAGTGGATTGATCCTTCACACCTGCTTGAAGAGGAATGCAGAATGGTAAAAAGCACAGAAATTGAAAACAAAGGGACAAGGATCTCATAGAATAAGGTATTCTGGTCAAAATGTCATACTGGAGCATATCTCAGTACATAATCCTCAGTCCTTTTCTGAACTTCTACAAAATTTGTTTGTATTCTTGCAGGTGTATTGGCTTAGAGCAGTGAGATACCAATAAGGAAATATAAACATCATGTTTGGGGAAGTGTCATTATCATCCCTAAAATAAGGACTTCCTGGTATGCTCAGAATAACAATACTCGTAACAGAATAATTCTGTGTGTGTGTTTTTTAGTGTGTGTGAAGGTTTCCCTTGTTCAAAAGTCAGTCGAATCCGACTCTAGGGATGTAGTGCTCATCTCCGTTTCCAAGCCAAAGAGCCAGCGCTGTCCAAAGACATTTCCGTGGTCATGTGGCCAGCATGACTAGACGCCTGTAATATACTCAGCTCCACGCGGTCAAGCGCCAACGTCGAGCTTTGCTCGAAAAGACAATGGACTATGCAGATCCTAGCCCGCACCAATCAGGGGGCTAGGTTCCCGGCCGAGAGCCTATGGAACTCTCGGCCACTGTAAATAACCTATTGGGAAGTAGGGGTGTGTTATGGGTGGCGAGTTAATGGGGAATATAAGCCAGCCTGCGAGCCGGCTTGTCTTGTTCCTGATCTAATAAAGTACACTTAGCTGAAATCACTCTCCGTCTGCGTACTTTTCAACGCCGAGGTACATAGAACACTGTTACCTTCCCATCAAAGCGGTATCTATTTATCTACTTGCAATTACTTGCTTTCGAACTGCTAGGATGGCAGGAGCTGGGACCAGAGATGGGAGGTCACTCCATCATGCGGCACACTCGGGTCTCACTCAAACTGCTGAGCTACTGACGTTCCGGTCTGTAGTTCAGTGTCTTAACTACTTGAACCACTGCAGCCCCATATATACACACACACAAATACACATATATAAAAACAGAGAAATATCTGTTAAAAGCATAGGGCAGGGAGGACAAATTACTGAGGGAATGCCAGACAAAACAAAGAAGTCATCACCTGCTGATGCAAGACAGTAACAAGAGACAGATGAATATCCTAGGGGAGGGAGTGCCACAATTTAAAAAGGAGAAGAGGAGATTGGATTTACACCCCGCCCTTCACTACCCAAAGGAGTCTCAGAGCGGCTTACAAACTCCTTTCCCTTCCCCTCCCCACAACAGACGCCCTGTGAGGTACGTGGGGCTGAGAGAGAGCTCTGACAGAAACTGCTCTTTTTCAAGGACAGCTCTGAGAGAACTATGGCTTGCCCAAGGTCATCCAGCAGGTGCAAGTGGAGGATTGGGGAATCAAACCCGGTTCTCCCAGATTAGAGTCCGCGCAGTTAACCACTACACCAAAAAGGACCTTTCTCAGTTTGCCACCACCTAACCCCAGAAGGCCAGGGCACCTGAAGCAGAGCCTCAGATGAGCATAGCAATCAGGTAGGGTCCCACGGGAATGTGATTCTTAAGGTATGTTGGACCCCAAATCTATATGACTTTAAAAGACAATACTAGCACCTTGAATTGGGCCCAGAAACATATTGGGATCCCTTGAAGATAAGGCATCCCTTAAGTGATATGGTCCTTATGACTGAAACAGAAGAAAGTATATCTTTACTGTGAAAAATGTAAAACACCTGCAGATATGACAACCAGAATAGGGATGATGCCAGCCTCCAGGTAGGACCTGGGGATCCCCCAGAGTTACAGCTCCTCTCCAGACTAGAGAGGTCAGTTCCCCTGGAGAAAATGGATGCTTTGGAGGTTGGACTCTATGGCATTGTGCGTAGTGAGGTCCCTGTTCTCCCCAGTTTCCATGCCCAAATCTCCAGCAGTTTCCCAACCTGGAACCCTGGGAACCCTAACTAGAGAGCATGCTCACTGCAATTCTCCCATACCACTAACATTCACTAGGTGGAAGGATCTTTGCTTCTATTATTCCTAACCTGGAACCCTGGGAACCCTAACTAGAGAGCATGCTCACTGCAATTCTCCCATACCACTAACATTCACTAGGTGGAAGGATCTTTGCTTCTATTATACATTAAATGTTTAGGGCAACTGTTTTTAGGGCAACCTTTCCCCCGTGCAGCACAGCGCATCGGACTTATCTCTTCCTTTCCCATAAGTGTGCATAGGGTTCCTTCTTGACTAGGTAATAATTCTAATTAGGGCTATTTTGGGGCAGGAACACACAGGAGTTCCAGCCGGCTTCAGAGTTGGCCACGCCCACTACAGCCAAAAGCTCTGCAAGGGTGCCTACAGAGGGAAGGCCTGGAGAGCAAAAAAACCCCCACCCCCAGTCCGGGGTGGGGGGGCTGGAAGGATGGGGAGGCATTTAAATGCCTCCCCATGCCTCCCCCAGCCTGTGGGCAAGCCAAGGGAATGCACGGGGGTATGGCCTAATATGCCAATGAGCTGTGCTATCAGGGGTGTGGCATAATATGCTAATGAGTTTCTGCTGATAGGTGTGACCTTTATGCTAATTAGTTCCTGTTGGGATTTTTCTACAAAAAAAGCCCTGATTCTAATTGTAGTCAATAGGACTTAATTATATACAAATATATTTAAGGCCGATTCTAATTGTAGTCAGTAGGACTTAATTATATACAAATATATTTAGAACTGCACTGCATGATAGTACCTGAGTGCCAGAATACAAACTTTTAAAAAACCCTATGCTCCACCGACAGTTGAACTAAATTTATGTCCCAGTAATTGCACATAGTGCCCTAATCTGGATAGCCCAGGCTAGTCCGATCTCGTAAATTCTCAGGTCAGCAAGATCGGCCCTGGCTAGTATTTGGATGGGAGACTTCCAAGAAATGCCAGGGTCGTGACACGGAGGCAATGCTAAGCCACCTCGGAATGTTTTTTTCCTTACCATAAAAACCATATGGAATCGCCATAAATCAACTGTGCTGCCTGCAAGCCAGAAAACCATTCCTTTGCCTAGGACAGAAGCAGGCAAAGTCCAGTGTCTACGTGAGCCAGAGCTTTCTTTGTGTCTCTAGATGGGTGGTTTGCTTGTTTTTTATTTGCTTGTTTGTTTAAGAAACGCTTCTATACCTAAAGGCATTCTCCCCATACCTATGCTTTGGAATTATCTTCTTAAACGATTCCCCATCGCTAGAAAAACGTATTCTGCATTTCCGCAGAAAACTCCGCCCTAAGACTTCCTAAGCACATACGCAGCCCGAGCTGCCTTATCCCACTAAACAGCGTGAGGCGACCCTCAGTAAGGGCAAGCAGGGTTACAGAACGCCCTTCTGGACAAGTGTGTTGCAGATCATGGCTGCGGACCTCCCTGCACAAAAAACCGAAGGAAACTAAAGGACCTACACATCATTCCCTTGCACACAATGGTGTTTCTCTCCCCCCCCCCCCCCGGACTTTAAGGGAGCGACACGCAATGAGATCTGCTTCCGCCGGAAGGCTGTTTCGGTGAGGGTCGGCCATGCTTTCTTGGCTGTAGGTCTACGTGCTTTGGTTTGGGAGTTCCTCTCGTCCGAAGCAGGCTGCGTCGATATGCTGCGCGAATTGCCGCGGAGCCTGATGGTGGCCGAGCTGCTGTTTGTGTCACAGGGCAACGGGGAAGAGAGCAGCAGTGCCGAGAGCATCCTCTGCTTGTGTTCCCGGGTCTTCGTGGAGTGAGTAGGGAAGCGGGATTGGTTCCGCGTTTGAACGCGGCGGGCGAGGGGAGCGATGCGTGGCAATTCGGCTCACACAGTGCGCGAGGAAGTTCGGTTTTGGATTCCCAGTTGGGCGGAATGGAAGGTTCGATGAAGGGATTTTCTCGGCTTCTCGTAGCTAGTTCTTTTGCGCGCGGGGTTGTAAACGATGGCTTTGTATTTATTTGCTGCAGAAAAAATTGGAAAGAAGTTACATTTGGGGGTTGCAGCCTCATACTCCACGTTAGGGCTGATGTTCCACCTGTCATTTAAAAATGTAAGGAGGGTGGATTGAAGTGCATGTCTAAACTGAGGTGTTAAGACCATCTGAATGAAGCAACTGGCTCCCTCTGCGAATCTGTTATGACAGCAGATAATAGAAAGTTCACTAAGGTTGGTGGCTCAGCGGTTACTATAGCTAACAGACAAATTTTTACCAAGGTGTAACTCATGGTTGTATGTTTATCTTGTCCTCACTTCCAGGGATCGAAAATTGTACAAACAAGGCTTAAAAGGGTTTTATGTAAATGATGAAAGTGACAGTACAGGTAAGATGTATTTAAACTATGTTGCTAAATTTGGTGCTTTGTAAAAGATTTTTTTCCCTTGCATTCTATAAAGTTGGGTGATGCTTGTATCAAAAATGTATGGGTTGTATAAAATTGGTAGGGGCCATGGTGGCTCAGAGGTTAAGACGCTGAGCCGCAGACCAGAAGGTCTGTAGTTCAGCAGTTCGAGACCTTAGTGCTGTGTGATGGAGTGAGCTCCTGTCTCTGGCCCCAACTCCTGCCAACCTAGCAGTTCAATAGCAAGACATTGCAAGTAGATAAATAGTTACTGCTTTGGTGGGAAGGTAACAGCATTCCATGCGCCTTGGTGTTTAGTCATGTTGGCCACATGACCACGGAAATGTCCTTGGACAGCGCTGGTTCTTAGGCTTGGAAACAGAGATAAGCACCATCCCCTAGAGTTGGATTCGACTAGCTTTTGAGTAAGGGAAACCTTCACCTTTTATATAATTGGTGGTGGAGGAAAGTGCTGTTAAGTCACAGCTGACTTATAGCAGCCCTGTGGGGTTTTCAAGGCAAGAGACTTTCAGAGGTAGTTTGCCATTGCCTGCCTCCATGTCACACCCCTGGTATTCTTTGGAGGTCGCCCATTGAAATACGAGCCAGGGCTGACCCTGTTTAGCTTCTGATATCTGATGAGATTGGGCTAGCCTGGGCTAGCCAGGTCAGGTGTATATAATTACACTGTTTTACTTTAAAATCTGTATTTTACTCTTTTCCCCAGTTTTGTGGTAACCTTGTTTCTCCCCCAAAATAATCTAAGCATACATTTAGTTTTACAAATTAGACATGCATCAGGTATGCAGAATTCTTGCTGGACAGAATGATTTGATATTGTAATCCTTAAAAACTGGAAGGTTGCAGAAATCTGCAGCTGATTAGTTGGAAACAAAAAACATCCTGTAACTTAATGTTGCTTATTAATAGGAGAAGACCTAGTGACTGAGGAAGAAGAAGAAAAGTTTAATTCCATTGTGTCTGCTGATTTATCAAATGACCGTGCTTTTGGACTGGAAGAAAATGAATTAGATACAGAGACTAAACTCATGAAGAGTATGGGGTTACCTGTACAATTTGGCAGTGTTACTAGCCCTAAGGCATTTGTGGTAAAATTCATTACATTTTATTTATTCTGTTCTTTTGCACTACTTTTAATTGTTGATATGAGTAGTTTGTATTGACAAACTGGCACAAATGATTTATTAAATCTGAACTTCATATTTATGCATTTTAACTTTATATTTACTGCATTTTAACTTCAGTTTTTCAAAATCTTGGATAGATTGTAAATTTACATTTTTCATTTTCTCAGCAGTTGCAAAGCAAATAGTTTAGAATTAGTCAAGTCAAGTTAGCCTTTATTGGCATAAATAGTTTAGAATTAGAAACATGTAGTAAGGAAGTCTAGGAAAGGTTCTTTTTTCTCAGAAACCATTAGAATGATTATAAAACTTTGCTATATAACTATACAGATCTGTTGTTGAGGTTTGTTTATTTGGTTAGTGATAAAGAAATTTTACGGTATTGGTGTCCCTCAATATGTTTCCAAATAACAGGATTTAGTTGGTAGAAAAATAAGAAAGGTTTCTTTTGAAAATTCTCGAGCACAGCATTGTAAGGCAAAATCTTGACTAATCTTGAGGATGCCTTCAATTGCATATATGTTATAAATGCCAACTATCACGGTGGCATATATGTTATAAATGCCAACTATCACGGTTCAAAAGAGATGAGTTTGCCACTCAGTTAATTTGTGTAGTCATTGTTCTGACCAAATTATCTTACATCTCTTGCATCCTCTGGTTCTTAATTTAGGAATTTAAAATAATTGTTTTACCAGTTCACAAAGACCCCAGATGCAATACTCAGTGAGAACCTTCATGGAACTTGTGTGCTCCTGGCTCCAGAAGGAAGTAAATTAGGAAAATAGACTTTAAAAAGTGGGAGAATTCAAAACAGAACAAAAGATTGCAGTGAAAATAAGAAAAATCAGGAAGCAAAAGTATGCTCATTCCACTAGTGTACTTGGATGTCGTATAGGCGCAGGCTTTGCAATCAGTGCATTGCTTGTAATGGCTTTGTTGAATTAGAGAGGTGTTCATCCTCGCTCCACCATGAGAAGTGAATGATCCACATTGAATCAGAACTTGTTGCTTCCAGTATGCAAAATTGGCACAGGCACTTATTCTTTCTCTTGTTGAATTTCAGGAATTTAGAAATGTTGAAAAGAGGTGTAAAATAGTCAAGGGAAAAAAGAACAAAAAGAAGAATACACTGCAAAAAGAGATTCTTGAAATGACACAAGAGATTTTGGTAGAGGGTCACAGAGATGACGACCACTCTCTTTTCGAGGATGAGTCCTTAATTACAAAGGAGAGTAAGAATGAAGAGGAGTGTGAAAATGGGGCTGTTGTATTGGAAGAGCTTAATGAGAATGAAAAATGGGGAGACTATTGGCACAAATATGGAGAAGAACTTCTGTGGCAGAGTTGGCAGGAGAAATACAAGGATGGTGACTCTGACCTTTTAGCTGTGTCTGAACCTTGGAGCAATCCTGAGGTGAAAGAAAAGTGGGAGCAGCATTATAGTGAGCTATACTGGTATTACTGGGAACAGTTTCACTACTGGGCAAGCCAAGGTTGGACTGTTGATGCTGTACGTAACAACAGCACAATAAAGAGCACAAGTACACTGGAAACAAGGCAGCCAGAAGAAAAAATACCAGATATTGGTGCAGATGGTGACTGTGGAGAAATACTGGGCTCAGAATTTCATTCTCATCTTTCTTCTGGTGGTAGCAGCAAGGAAAATCTCATTCTACCTGATGAACTTTGTAATGAAATTCTTACTGCAGTTGGCAAAATAAATCTTGGTTGTGAAGAAGCAAAGCAGAGCACTTCAGCAAACATGGTCGATGTTACGGGTAATCAAGGACAGAGTTCAAGAAGTGATTCTGGTCAGGCTGAAACATCTGAAAAAGGAACAAAGGAAAAAGTGTCTTCGGAAAAAGGATGTCAGCCAGGTTGGTGTGCCAGGGTCAGAAATTGCATCCCTCCAGCCCGCAAAGGGATATTTGCTGATGCTGGGGAGGGATATTCGATGTGATAAATCTTACACCTTGTAACCAGCTCAAGTAATGTGTAGATGTGTAGATTTATAAAACGATACGTGAGAAGGAGAAAGTGGGCAGAGGGAAATTTTTCTTCCTTTTCCATAATACTAGAACTCAAGGACACCTAATGAAGTTGATTGGCAGTAGATTCAGGACTGCTAAAAGAAGTGCTTCTTTGTTAAGCAACTAATTAAATTGTGGAATTTAGTGCCTACAAATGTAGTGAAGGCCATGAGCATAGATGGCTTTAAAGGGTGATCAGACATTCCTGAAGAATAAGGTCTTTCAGTGGCTATTACACATGTAAATAACACACACACAAAGCTGCCTTATACTGAATCAAACCACTGGTCTATCGAGGTCAGTATGATCTGCTCTGACTAGCAGCGGCTCTCCAGTGTCTCAGGTAGCAGTCCTTCACGTCACCTACTGCTGGTCCTTTTCAGCTCAAGAGGCCAGTAGCACTAAAGGAATGCACCACACCCAGATGCAGTAAACCTCTGAATCCCAGTGCTAGGAGGCAATGTTAGGGGAAAACCTTGGTTGCTGTGTCCTCCTTGGTGGCCCTCCAGGACAACTGGTTGGCTGCTGTGTAAAACAGGTTGCTGGGCAAGATGGAACATAGGGCTGATCCAGCAGGACTCTTACTTATATTCCCAGAGCTGTAAACATTTAAGGATAGAAAAATTCAGTGTTCCTGAGATATTGATGCTTAAAGCTCCCCACCCCAGAACATTGTCTTCCCATGACTTAAGCATGGAGGATAAAATATTTTTTCCTCCTGTCTCCAAATAGCTCAGGTAGGCTGATTTCTCTTTGTAAAATAGTTCGTGAGGAAATGGGTAAAAAAGGAGACCTAACATAGTATGAATCCAGATTATAAAAACAAACAAACCCACACTGTTTTGAAGGTTAAAACTGTAAATTAAGAGATTTAGTTGTATATCTCCAAAGCCACATATGACACTGCCCAGTAAAAGGGGAGGGGAATGTAATTTTTACTAGGTATCAGGACAAAGCATTATGACATTCTGAAAAGGCTCCCAAATAGTCTCTCTAATTATCTTATATTTTAATTATGCTAAATCAAATATTTTAATTATGCTAAATCATTTCTGTTTCCATTTTAGTGTCTCGATGGTCGTCTAGAGCAGATGCCCCAAGCGGTGGGGTTTCTCCTAATAATAGTGATGACGGTGAGCAGCCCCCTGAACGTAAACCTGTCAAATTAAAGAGGAGGCAGGTTATCAGTCATTTCTTCTTACTGTTTAATAATCCAGCATTGTATATTTATACAGTTATGTATCATTGATCCTTATTGGATGTTAACATACTGTCTGTAATTAAGTCATATTTTGTGTCTGTTTAGTAACTCACCTGTCATCTGCAGAGTGGAGTGCTCTTTATTCCTACACTTGCATATATTGTCCCGTTAGCTGAAAATAATGTATCCCTCTGTAGTATAGATATTTTGATTGCAAAGAGCCAAATTAAAAAGTATTTAGACCAGTTTTTTGAGCATTTGTAGTGTGTCTTGGAAGCACTGTTGGGAATTTTTTTTTAACTTGTGGTTATGTTAAAGATTTGGGGAGGGGGGAACTGCAGTTAGTCATGAAAATCTTGGATGTGGGAAGTAGAGAAATTCTTACATTGTTAATAAACTGGAAGGACACTTTGGGCCACTTTACTCATGAGATGAGTATCGTGTCTGTAAAAAGCAGGTGCAGGGTAGCCCACCCTGCATCCGAGCCAGTGGTGCCAGGAAAGCAGTGATGCTACCCGGTGGTTTCTCCAGTTGGAAATGCCCCTCTCCTTATTGGTGGAGAGGACTGTCAAACCGCAACTGATTTATGGCAACCTTGTAGGGCGATCAAGGCAAGAGACATTCAGAGGTGGTTTGCCATTACCTGCTTCTGCATAGCAATCCTGGGTTTCCTTGGTGGTCTCCCATCCCAATACTGACCAGGGCTGACCCTGCTGAGCTTCCAAGATTCGATGGGATTGGCATAGCCTGGGGGCCACCCAGGTCAGGGCACCCCTCTGCTCAATGAATGCTGAGTCTCTGATCCATTTCTCCATACCCTGCATCTGCTTTTGGGGGGGCCAAATTGCACATCAGGAGTTACTGCTGCACAAGTGTTTTATCTAATATATAGCCCTATTTCTATATCTCTAGCTATTTTATTATTACTTAAAAATTAAATCTATTCAGAAGATCAAATTGGTAATAACAACTTAGCCTTACCAGATTTTTTTTCTTGATGGTTAACAAAAGCGTTTTGTGTTTCCTTTCTAGCCATGAACTAGATGCTGAAGAACATGGTCAGGCAGATCCAGAAAGCATTTGTGGTCTTTTGGGGCTCAAACATGGCATGGGACAAAAGTAAGAAATATTCTGATTTTTTCCTCCAAAAAACAGTTTGTTTTAGACTGTACAGCTTTGCCCAGAGTAATTATTTTAAAGCATGTTTCATTAGCAGCTGCTGTGTGGGCTGTTCAGCTTTTTGTTTCAACATGTTTCCAAAACTGACACAAAATATCTTGCATGTGTAGCTTACCAAAAGAATTTATCAAACTATATCGCTGTGAACTGCACAATACATGATGCTGTGGGTCTAGTTTGGTATAGAAGTTGGAATGTTAGAATAGTATCTAAGGGCTGGGTTCTGGTCCCTTCTCCGCCATGAAGGTCATTGTGTAACCTTGGGCCAACCAGTCTAACCTAGCTCTCAAGGTCACTGTGATAATATGATGGGAAAGGGAAAACCATGTATGCCACCCCCAGCTTCTTGAGCAGGGACTGGGATGAAATACGCTAGACAGATAACTGGATCTTCCAGGGTATCCAAGGTCCTTGATTTCAAATGGCGCTGTAGTGCTGGAGGAAGGTCCTCTGTTTCCCTGTGCTGTATCCTTCCATGACCTAGACATGATAAAAGACTATTTTTTTTGGGGGGGGGG